TTTCTTTCCCTTTCTCAGATTATCCTTCCAGGTTTTCGTAATAAATTTATATTTTGTAAAAGGATTTTGTTGTACCAGGTTTTGCATCCTCACTGAATCTGACTGGCTTTTATTTTCCTCTCCAAAATCAGGTTTTTGTTCTCAACATCTCTCCCCATCATGTTCAGTCACTGTTTTGGTTTTGGCACCATCAATATCAAATGTACAAACGGTTCTTGCTAACCAACACCAGGTATATCTGATGTTCAGATGAGTTCCAATAAAAACAATTTTTTTTTCAAAAAGTGTCCTTTCTTGAGTGCTGGAGGGCTTCTGATCAAGTCCAGACAGCTCGGTGTAGCCCTCTAGACTGGCCAAAGCCCTGCTATCTCATTTGCTTCATGGGAGACCTTTATATCTGGGGTAAAGTGGAGGGCTTTGGGGAAGAAAGTTGGTCTGTGAGGTCTGAAATGGGAAGTGGTGTTCAGGTATCTTTCTGTTGTTCCAAGGAATGTGGTCCAGAGAGGACAGGGGGTTTGGGTGGTAATATCCTCTGAGCCTATTTCCTCATCTACACGATGAGGATGGCCCTTCCTTGGTAGGTAATTGTGGTGTGAGGATTACATGAAGTCATGGAAATGCAAGTGCCTGGAGAGTCCTGACATTCAATTGTGGTTTAGTTTCCATTTGGAATTTTCAGAAGCAATGATTTTCATATTGCCCCTCAGATCCTGAGGTCTGAGTTCTTCTGAGGGACTCGGGCCACTGGGAGGGAGAGGTCAGCTCTAGCCGCCAACTCCACTTCAGTCTGAGCAACTCTGCTATTGTTTGTTTTAGTATCATGTCTCTGTGTACACTTTTACTTGTAGGAAGAGTTTTGCTTTAATGAAGGACTTTAAAAAATATTCCAAAGGGATCAAGAGCTGGAGCAGAGGGAAGGGATTTCCCAAGCCTAGGGCAGCCCCGAGGAGCTCAATTGGGCAGCAGTGCTTTCTTCTGCTCCCTTTGCAGGTCTGATGACTTCCTGTAGCCCTGTGCTGTCTAGTGTGTAGCCACTGGCCACATGGGGCTGTTGAGCCCTTGAAATGTGGCTAGTTTGAACTGATGCACTGCAAATGTAAACACAAAGCAGACTTTGAAGACTTAGTATGAAAAGAATGTAAAATAGCTCAACTTTTTATATATATCTATGTTGAAATATTTTGAGCATTATTGGGTTAAATAAAATATATTATTACAATTCACCTATTTCTTTACCTTTTTAATGTGGCTACTAGAAAATATTAAATTACCTATGTGGCTTGCATTTGTGGCTCACGTTATATTTTTTTTGGACAGTGTTGCTCTAGACCTTCAGGACTTGATGGCTTCCTTTCCCAGGCCTCAAATAAGCTGAGTCTAGGCAGCTGAGAGGGTCAGGGAGCCCATGGGCTGGCCTAGGCCTGGCTCCCTCATCTAGGGACCCTTCCTGGCACCAGCCGTTATGGTGCCAGGGCTTTGTTGGGTGTTAATGAAATACTGGTGGTGTTGGGAGCAAAAGCTGAGGCACTTGGCTCTGGAGCCCTGCTGCGTGCTCGAGTTATATAATCTGTGCTGCCCAGAAGGGCCACTAGATGTTGCTCTGTGATCCTTGAAAGAACAAAGCATGACTTCCTCAGGAGCCAGGGCTCAGCCCTGCTTTATTTGGAACCCTTTCTGGAAGCTAGCTGGCTGGGGCCTTGGCCTCCCTCCCTTGGGGTAGTATGGGAAGGGGGGGCATGCAGAGGATGGGGACTCTCCGACGACACCTGGGCATCCCAGCCCAGCGGTGCAGATAACAAGCAGGCTGGCCCTTCTGGCAGCTCGAGATAGGCTATATGATAAATAGGCTGATTGATGGGGGTGGGATTTAGAGGTCCTCCCTGCAATTCTCTGATGAAGATTGGGAAGAAAACAGCTCTGCATCAGTCAGCTGGATCTGCCCTCTGGGTCCATGATTCTGCCATTTCTGGCAGATCACTGCCCTTTCTTCCTTGCTTTCCAGTTCGAGCAGTGATGGGAGCTTGAGGGTGGTGGTGGTGGTGGTGGTGGGTTGAGGGAGCAGAGGAGCTGTGTGGTGCCTTGAAACAGGCAGAACAGGCATGGCATGGGTGGATAGGGGTTCTGGACGACTCTTTCCCTCAGTCACAACAGCAGTGGGCTGGCAGCACCATCCCATTCGTGCTTTGCTGCAAACATGACTTTGCCTTTGACAAATGTGAGGAGGTTAGGGTAGTTCTGCCAAGAGCTCTTTTTGAAGGTGCTAGGGAAAGACTGGCTGGACGAAGGCATGCGAGGACACCAGAGTTGAGCCAGGCTGGAAAAGGCCCAGGCAAACATATGCTTTCTTGGCTTGGAAAACGAGCTGGGGTGAAGTGGAGCTTGGTACTGCCCACCATGAATTGGAATTAGCTAGAATTAGGGTAACAGGGTGGGTCCAGATAGTTCTAAGGGGTGGATTACAGGCTTAGAAATCTTTGCATATTTTGGGAAATGGAAAGCACGTAACCTTTGTTCAACACTAGAATCTGAAGGGGACCTTGAGAAAAGGCAATGTGGACATGGGCCAGCTCAGGAGCTGGGCCTCTCCACTAGGGGCTGGAGGAAAAAAGGCTGGAGTTCATCTTTGCCTTAGAAAGGAAGAGTCATTGGTCCAGGGGACGTGGAGATTCCTTCTTAGAGCTTCTTACTCTAGAGAAAGGGAGTTGAGGACAGCTCCATTTGAACTGCAGGTAGGGGTTGTACACTGAGAGACATTCAGAGGGAGGGAGTCTGCCTTTTTTTTTTTTGGTGAGGAAGATTAGCCCTGAGCTAACATCCATGCCAATCCTCTTTTTGCTGAGGAAGACTGGCCTTGAGCTAACATCTGTGTCCATCTTCCTCCACTTTATGTGGGACACCGCCACAGCATGGCCTGACAAGCGGTGCGTCTATGCGCACCTGGGATCTGAACCCCGGGGCTGCCAGCAGCGGAGCACGCGCACTTAACCGCTACGCCACAGGCCGGCCCCTGCCTTTATCTTCTAAGTTAAGATGACAGCTGCTGTGGATGTTTCTGAAGGGCTGTGGAAGAAGTAGCCCTTGGTACAGAGCAATGCATGTTCTACTATATGGCCACCAAGGTCCCTAAAGTTTGAGTAGCACTGTTCTGAATGATACCAGATCTCTTTTTCTGTTCTGCTTAGGGCAGTAGGCAGAGCTGGCACAGGTTGACAGCCTAGTGTGATGGAGTGGTCTGGAGTCAGGGACTTGGGTATTCTCTGGATTGCCACTTCCTCATCACTAGGTCTAGAGGTGATACTTTGGATTAAGATATGGTTTGAGTCTCCTGTTTCCCAGGTTTGTGGTCAAATCTGAATGAATCTCCAGAACCAAACTAAAAGAATAACAAATGAAAAATGGCCTTTGTGAAGGATCTGGATTCTTATCTGAGAACAGTTACTAGAACCAGAATTTTACTAGCACGAAGTCGTCAAATTATACATGTTTAGCATGAAAAACCTTTAAATCAGCGGATCAGAGGCGGGTTGGAGCAGTGGCTTCAGTTTAACTATAACAGATAAGCGGGAGAGTGGAAATTTCGAGGTCACATTTGTGATGGGCTCAGTATTGGCCCATCTCTGGGGTAGCGGCAGAGCTAGGGGCCTCAGGGCCCTGTCCCAGGTGTGGTGTGGGAAAGCCAGTTGCTGTTTGTGGAATGGCCCAGAACTGCCTATGTCTCTCTGGCCTGGATTTCTGACACCTACCTGGGCCATGGGCATTTACTGGGGATGGGGGAATGGAGGTCCCAGAGAGGAAGGCACCAAAACCGATGGGACAGTCTGTTCCGGATGCGCGTGGCACTCGGCTTCAGCAAAGGCTTCGCCTCTCCTCGCCTTCCTCCTTGAGCTCCCTACCTTGTTTCCTGGGTGACGAGGATGTAAATGGAAGGAGGGAGCTCGGGGCCCCGGCCTCTGTGGATGGCTTCTCGGGCGCCAGCCTCAGCCCCGGGGGGCCGCGCGTCGCCAGGGCGGGGACGCGGCCGAGAG